ACACATCTAGCTAAATACGGTAACAATCAGTTGTTTAAAGTCTTTCGGCAAGGGAACTGCCATGATTTCAGGTGCAAAATGATTTTCTTCCAAAATCATTTGCCTTCGCCTATCCTTCCTCTTGGTTAATGCATAATCTATTTTCTGGGGCCATCATCTCCATATTCCTTTCCAAGTCCATCATGGGTCGGGGAATTTGCGAAAATGCAACCACTAGAGCCCCTAAGTCCTCAATTGTTGGCTGAGTAACAGGCGGGATAATCGTTTGCACCACTTGGGGCGGTTGCTCGCTTACGGCCTCTGGCGGGTTCTGTGGTGGGGCTGTGGCTTTCTGCGTTTGACTCTGCAAGAAGATCATCATGGTTGCCAATTGAGTTTCCAGGGCACTGAATTAGCTCTACATCACATACTGGGGTGGCAGGTCGTGACCCTAGGGATGGCGCCGCACTGCTAAGAATTCCCCTCCCCGTCCCCACCCCGTTACCCATTTAAGGCGGGGTCGGGGCGTGTCTTTTCCCCGTTTACTCCCCATTTAAATTTATTATTATTATTTTTTTAGTTTTTGATAATTTATTTTTATTGTCCATATTCATTAGATTTAGACAAATAATTTTAGTTGTTATTTTCTATTAGAACAAATGAAAATTTTCATTTAAAGTATTGAATTCTTAAAATAAAAAAAAAAACATTTTTACGGGGCGGGGCCCCCATCCCGCCCCGTCCACGCTCGTTACTCGATTAAGCGGGTTATCCCCGCCTCGCGGGTATCGGGTTTGTCGGATTTTTTTGCCATCCCTACGTGACCCATTGCGACAAATTCCAACTCCATCTCTTTGGCATTTCCGACCATACGCATTTCACTCCTAGTCCGTCTCTTTGACATAGTTTTTTTGTTCAGTGGTTTCCCAGAGACGGCACCAATGAAATTGTCACGAGATTGACCTCCGCTTTCTCCTTGATGTGTTGGGTATTTCGGCTCTGATCAGTGAATGCTACCTGCAAAATGAGGTAGGAGCTTTCTCCCCCTTTTTGCCTCCGGCGTGAGAATCAGTAGTTGGTTTAGGAAAGTTGGAAGAGATTATAATTGGAATTAAAACAGTTCGGGTTTTAAGAGAACCATACCTTTTTCACCTTAGGGGTATGTATAGGTACCTGATGCAACACACTCGTTCAACAGTTAATGGTGTCACACGTCCTATGTAAATCTTCCCATTTTCCCCACGTTCTGATGTGATGGCCCCCACTCCTCAAGCGGTTGGTTATGCCCATGTTTACTGTTGAGCGATTCTCATCCAGCTCATTGTCATTCGTATTGTTAAGTGTAGCGTTGATCTCATAATGGTAGATGGCTTATGTAAACGTAGAGGGTCTCATGGTGGTTGGCGGCTTCATGGGGGTTGACGGCCTCATAGTGGTAGACGACCTTTGTGAACGTAGAGGGCTTCATGGTGGTAGGCAGCCTCAGGTGGTCAACAACCTCATAGTGGTAGACGGCCTATGTAAACGTAGAGGGCCTCATGGTAGTCGACGACCTATGTGAACGTAGAGGCCTCATGGTGGTAGATGGCCTATGTGAAGGTAGGGGTCTCATGGTGGTTGGCGGCCTTATAGTGATAGACAATCTATGTGAACGTAGAGGACCTCATAGTGATAGACGACCTGTAGGGGTAGACGGTATATCATGTGTAGGGGTAGACGATCTATTATGTGGTGCTCTACTTAAAGTGCATATCAAGTAGTTTTCACCTCATTACCATCCTAAGAAAATAATTCAAATACCTTTACCTATTGGGCGATTAGAATATTTTTTTCCTTTGTGTTAGGTGGTATTAACTTTGAATAGAACAAACTATTTCAGTGGTTGAAACCATAAATTAGTAGCCCTATGACACAACTGCTAAATCCTCAAGTGCCAAGGCTACATCCTATGTTCAAAAATTAAGTTTTAGTGCTTGTTTGGTAAAAAGTTGGTCAAACTTCATTTTCAACCACATATTTCATAGGAGTTTTTATTTACTTTTCACCACATATTTCATGACTCATAGACTTTTATTACTTTTATTAACGTCAGTCTGTAAATCCAAGAATCTCTTTTAGTTTTAGCAAACTTGAAATATTGCAGTCTTGTGTGGTTGGGGTTTGTAAAACATCTTGTTCTCCGTAATTGCAGGTCATAGACTATTATTCCAAGAAGAGCGTAGTTGCAGATCTCCATGCAGAGAAGCCCCCAAAAGAGGTCACTACCGAGGTTCAGAAAGTCCTATCTTCTTAAGAAGTTGTCTTCCATAACTATTTTTTTCAGGCACAAACTTGTAGTACGGTGTCTTGTTGCATCGGCTTTATTTTCTGTTTCTTTTCTTTTTTCTTCGTCTGGTCCCTTCGTGCTATTTTCATTGCTTTCGGCGTCTCATTTGAGTTCCAGAAGAATTATTTTATTGTACCGAAATAAATCTCCAAATGGTGAGAAGAAATGGTGAGAGAGGTTTTGTGAACTAATTGAAGATTACTCTGTTTTAACTCCAAAATTTTATGAATTTCTGCTCATTTTTATTATTTTTGGCATTAAAATTAGTTTGAGTGAGAAAATACACTTCTTTGACGTGCGTCCTGCTAGTGCATTAGTGTCCTCCCTGTGATGCGAAGCATCACTGAACATGGGAGTGTCTACTTCAGAAAGAGGTTAGCCCCCGAACGAATAGTGTTCGAGGTGGATTCCCGACCTGATCTCGAATGATATAAGATTTGATCGTGCTTCTCCTATAAACTCTAGCTTTTGGGAAAAGTAGTTATGTCTTCCTACATTAGCCTTCATGTTGGGTGAGTGACTTTGTATGGATCACCAAAAGACTCTCTCAGAGATTGAAGTTAATATTCCGTCGATGAAAATTGCACCACTTTTATTGAACATTATACATTTCTTCAAGTAGAGGTGTAAATTAGGTTCGGTAATGTGACTCGGTTTTGATACATGGCTTTGGCTCGATCTGAAATATTACAATATTAATGTTTTTAATAATTATTGTACGTAAGACTAAACTTAAGTCAAGAAGAGAAGTACATGTTAGCTAAATATAGTCTTGGACATGTGTTGGAAATAATTTTTTGTAGATATTGTATATTTTAGTTTGAACAATGCTACACTTTCAGAAAATAACCGTCTTCGTGTGATTGGCTGCTACAATCACTTGTGAAACTATTTCTGTACATAGAGAATTATTCTTTTCAATTATGCTACAAGTACATTGTCTTTAAAATCAAGTTTGACATTGTGCCACATGTTGCAGTACGATTGACCAGTTTGAAAATATAATATACTTTCTCGCCACTCTATTTTTGAATTTGCAAAGAAGTGTCAAACTTCATGTACACAAGGAATGTACAAGGAGCATAATTCTATTCTTTTAGTTTATGTAGCAACATTTTTAGTGCAATCTATATTAAGCTCTGTTTGGTACACATTATTTTTTTCATTCTCATTCTTTTATTCATTTTCAACCACACATTCTTCAATAAAATAATATTTTCCATCACATCAATAATTTTTCCTTTATTTTTAACCACACATTCTCCATAAATTTATTAATCAATAATACATTCTTTCAAAAGAATGTATCCCAAACACATTTTTAATATTGGATAGGATCTTAGTGGGGTCAAAGTAGGTAGAACGGTCAAGATAGTAACGTTGAATCCCTTATTTAAAAGATTAGGCGGCAAAATTCATTTGTCTAAATGTGGGATTTTACGCCTCAGTTTAGTTTATAGACGTAGGATTTGACTTTGACCCATATCTTTAATGAAAATGAGTGATGCAAAGGATGGGACATCCAACCTTACCTCCGGAATTACACGGGAGCACTAGAAAAGGTGAAAGACAAAATTGGGAGTATTACTCCAATTAATTTAAATGAGTCCATTAGTGGAAAGTACCTTTGGAGTTTTGTACTCGTAAGAACTATCTGGCAATTGGTTTTACCAAAGTCAACGTCAAAACTGTAACTATCATAGTACACAAGGAAACATCCAATTTATAATGATCACATTTCTGAGGTCAATTCTTAACGAAACGGTCTCTGTCTAAATGAAAAAAACACACAAAAAATATACAGAACACTCACAAATAGGTTGGCCTCATTTTTTTTGGTAATATTTAATTTATATGGGGTCCACCTCATATGAGTATCTGTATTGTTTCTGTATGAATTTTTCTGTACAAGCAGAAAATTTCATTCTTAACTTATCAATCAATCAATTGATTCAATTCCACGCGTTAATCATAATAGAAGTAGAATTAAGCTAGGACAGGGCCCACCTATTGGCTGGGAGTCTGTCAATTAAGCTAATTGTACAATTTTGTATGAAAAATGCTAGAGGTGCATTACCAATGATATAATGGTTCAC